ATAATAATATAACTTTTAATTAAAATTATAAAAGAGCAAGTAAAACAATTAAGACTTAGTAAAATTGAGAGAGAATTATAACCCACATTTTTTCTTAAATAACTTGTGAATGAATCAATAAATCATTCATTTATTAATTCAATTTATTTTAACTACCTTAAATTCAACCAACACTCTCATTTAACACCTCTAAATTTTTCCAATAGGCAAACAAAATTTTTGTTTTAATTATTTTCCCAAAATACAAAACACACGCCGTTAATTAGTTTAAGTGCAATTAGGTTTTACTTTATTCTGTTGATTTATGTTTTACCCAAAATCTACTGAGTAGTTGCTTCCAATTCTACAAATGTCTAGTGCTTCACACTTGCAATTAAGTTGAATTATGTTTTTCCTAATTTGCAGCTTTTCCACCTATTCTTTTTTTTTTGGTTAATTTTCTTCTTTTGATATAAAATCCAAAGCTTTTGGACCAGAAAATTGTATGATTTTGTTTGGGGGATGCTATAGTTATTTGGAGAAGCACAAAGCCAAAGTAGATATATTCTTTGTTATGCAGTCTTATTTGGGAGTACCGACAAAGATGTAATCAAACGAAGACCCGCACAACAAAGAGGTGAGGTGAACATAAATCATAGATCCACTAATTTTGTTTCAGTGCAATTAGGTTTTACTTTATTCTTTTGATTTATGTTTTACCCAAAATCTATTGAGTTGTTGATTCCAATTCTACAAATGTCTAGTGATACACACTTGCAATAAGGTTAAATTATGTTTTTCCTAATTTGCAGTTTTTCTACCGATTCTTTTTTTTTTTGTTTTGTTAATTTTCTTCTTTTGATATAAGATCCAAAGCTTTTGGACAAGAAAATTGTATGATTTTGTTTGGGGATGCTATAGTTATTTGGAGAAGCACAAAGCCAAAGTATATATATTCTTTAATATGCAGTCTTAATTGGGACTATCGACGAAGATCTAATCAAACGGAGACCCGCACAACAAAGAGGTGAGGTGAACATAAATAATAGATCCACTAATTTAGTTTCCAGTGCAATAAGGTTTTACTTTATTCTTTTAATTTATGTTTTACCAAAAATCTACTGAGTTGTTGCTTCCAATTCTACAAATGTCTAGTGATTCACACTTGCAATTAAGTTACATTATATTTTATCTAATTTGCAGCTTTTCCACCGATTTTTTTTTGTTAATTTTCTTCTTTTGATATAAGACCCAAAGCTTTTGGACCATAAAATTGTATGATTTTATTTGGGGATGCAGTAGTTATTTAGAGAACTACAAAGTAAAAGTAGATATATTGTTTGATATACAGTCTTATTGGGGAGTATCAACGAAGATGGAATCAAACAGAGACCCGCACAACAATGAGTTGAGGTGAACATAAATCATAGATCCACTAATTTAGTTTCTAGTGCAATTAGGTTTTACTTTATTCTTTTGATTTATGTTTTACCCAAAATCTACTGACTTGTAGCTTCCAATTCTACAAATGTCTAGTGCTTCACACTTGCAATTAAGTTAAATTATGTTTTTCCTAATTTGTAGCTTTTCCACCGATTCTTTTTTTTTTAATTTTCTTCTTTTGATATAAGATCCAAAGCTTTTGGACCAGAAAATTGTATGATTTTGGTTGGGGATGCAATAGTTATTTGGAGAAGCACAAAGCCAAAGTAGATATATTGTTTGCTATACTGTCTTAATTGTGAGTATCGACAAAGATGTAAACAAACGGAGACCCACACAACAAAGAGGTGAGGTGAACATAAATCATAGATCCACTAATTTAGTTTCCGGTGCAATTAGGTTTTACTTTATTCTTTTGATTTATATTTTACCCAAAATCTACTGAGTTGTTGCTTACAATTCTACATATGTCTAGTGCATCACACTTTGCAGTTAAGTTAAATTATGTTTTTCCTAATTTGCAGCTTTTCCACCGATTCTTTTTTTTTTTTGTTAATTTTCTTCTTTTGATATAAGATCCAAAGCTTTTTGACCAGAAAATTGTATGATTTTGTTTGGGGATGCTATAGTTATTTGGAGAAGCACAAAACCAAAGTAGATATATTCTTTGATATGCAGTCTTATTTGGGAGTATTGACGAAGATTAAATCAAACGGAGACCCACACAACAAAGAGGTGAGGTGAAAATAAATCATAGATCCACTAATTTTGTTTCAGTGCAATTAGCTTTTACTGTATTCTTTTGATTTATGTTTTACCCAAAATCTACTGAGTTGTTGCTTCCAATTCTACAAATGTCTAGTGCTTCACACTTGCAATTAAGTTAAATTATGTTTTTCCTAATTTGCAGCTTTTCCACCGATTCTTTTTCTTTTTTGTTAATTTTCTTATTTCGATATAAGATCCAAAGCTTTTGGACCAGAAAATTGTATGATTTTGTTTGCGATGCAATAGTTATTTGGTGAACTACAAAGCAAAAGTAGATATATTGTTTGATATACAGTCTTAATTGGGAGTATCGACGAAGATGTAATCAAACATAGACCCGCACAACAAAGAGGTGAGGTGAACATAAATCATAGATCCACTAATTTAGTTTCCAATAGAATTAGGTTTTACTTTATTCTTTTGATTTATGTTTTACCCAAAATCTACTGAGTTGTAGCTTCAAATTCTACAAATGCGTAGTGCTTCTAACTTGCAATAAAGTTAAATTATGTTTTTCCTAATTTGCAGCATTTCCACCGATTCTTTTTTTTTGGTAATTTTATTCTTTTGATATAAGATCCAAAGCTTTTGGACCAAAAAATTGTATGATTGTTTTTGGGGATGCTATGGTTATTTGGAGAAGCACAAAGCCAAAGTAGATATATTCTTTGATATGCAGTCTTATTTGGGAGTATCAACAAAGATGTAATCAAACGGAGATCCGCACAACAAAGAGGTGAGGTTAACATAAATCTTAGATCCACTAATATTGTTTCAGTGCAATTAGGTTTTACTTTATTCTTTTGATTTATGTTTTACCCAAAATCTACTGGGTTATGCTTCCAATTCTACAAATGTCTAGTGATTCACACATGCAATTAGGTTAAATTATATTTTTCCTAATTTGCAGTTTTTCCAACGATTCTCTTTTTTTGTTTTGTTAATTTTCTTTTTTTGATATAAGATCCAAAGCTTTTGGACCAGAAAATTGTATGATTTTGTTTAGGGAGGCTACAGTTATTTGGAGAAGCAGAAAGCCAAAGTATATATATTCTTTAATATGCAGTCTTAATAGGGACTATCGACGAAGATCTAATCAAATAGAGACCCGCACAACAAAGAGGTGAGGTGAACATAAATCATAGATCCACTAATTTAGTTTCCAGTGCAATTAGGTTTTACTTTATTCTTTTGATTTATGTTTTACCCAAAATCTACTGAGTTGTTGCTTCCAATTCCACAAATGTCTAGTTTTCACACTTGAAATTATTTTAAATTTTGTTTTTCCTAATTTGCAGCTTTTCCAACGATTCTCTTTTTTTTTTGTTAATTTTCTTATTCTGATATAAGATCCAAAACTTTTGGACTATAAAATTGTATGATTTTGTTTGGGAATGCTATAGTTATTTGGAGAAGCACAAAGCCAAAGTAGATATGTTGTTTGATATACAGTCTTAATTGGGAGTATCGATGAAGATTTAACCAAACGGAGACCCGCACAACAACGAGGTGAGGTGAACATAAATCATAGATCCACTAATTTAGTTTCCAGTGCAATTAGGTCTTACTTTATTCTTTTAATTTATGTTTTAACCAAAATCTACTGAGTTGTTGATTTCAATTCTAGAAATGTCTAGTGCTTCACACTTACAATTAAGTTAAATTATGATTTTCCTAATTTGCAGCTTTTCCACTGATTCTTTTTTTTGGTTAATTTTCTTCTTTTGATATAAGATCCAAAGCTTTTGGTCCAGAAAATTGTATGATTTTGTTTGGGGATGCTATAGTTATTTGGAGAAGCACAAAGCCAAAGTAGATATATTCTTTGATATGCAGTCTTAATTTGGAGTATCGACGAAGATCTAATCAAACGAATACCCGACAAATGTATAGTACTTCACACTTGCAATAAGGTTACATTATGTTTTTCCTAATTTGTAGCTTTTCCACCGATTCTTTTTTTTGTTTTGTTAATTTTCTTATTTTTTTACAAAACAACAAAGCTTTTGGACCAGAAAATTGTATGATTTTGTTTGGGGATGCAATAGTTATTTGGAGAAGCACAAAGCAAAAGTAGATATATTCTTTGATATACAGTATTAATTGGGAGTGTCGAAAAATATATAAACAAACGGAGACCCGCACAACAAAGAGGTGAGGTGAACATAAATCATAGATCCACTAAATTAGTTTCCAGTGCAATTAGGTTTTACTTTATTCTTTTTATTTATGTTTTACCCAAAATCTACTGAGTTGTTTGCTTCCAATTCTACAAATTTCTAGTGCTTCACACTTGCAATTAAGTTAAATAATATTTTTCCTAATTTGCTGCTTTTCCACTGATTCTTTTTTTTTTGTTAATTTTCTTCTTATGATATAAGATCCAAAGCTTTTGGTATAGAAAATTGTATGATTTTGTTTGGGGATGCTATAGTTATTTGGAGAAGCATAAAGCCAAAGTAGATATATTCTTTGATATGTTTTCTTAATTGGGAGTATCGACGAAGATCTAATTAAACGGAGACCCGATAAATGCCTAGTGCTTTACACTTGCAATTAAGTTACATTATGTTTTTCCTAATTTGCAGCTTTTCCACCGATTCTTTTTGTTGTTTTGTTAATTTTCTTCTTTTGATATAAGATCCAAAGCTTTTGGACCAGAAAATTGTAAGATTTTGTTTGGGGATGCAATAGTTATTTGGAGAAGAACAAAGCAAAAGTGGATAAATTGTTTGATATACAGTCTTAATTGGGAGTATCGACGAAGATGTAATCAAACGGAGACCCGCACAACAAAGAGGTTAGGTGAACATAAATCATTGATCCACTAATTTAGTTTCCAGTGCAATTAGGTTTTACTTTATACTTTTGATTTATGTTTTACCCAAAATCTACTGAGTTGTTGCTTACAATTCTACAAATGTCTAGTGATTCACACTTGCAATTAGGTTAAATAATATTTTTCCTAATTTGCAGCTTTTCCGCCGGTTCTTTTTTTTGTTTTGTTAATTTTCTTTTTTTGATAATAGGATCCAAAGCTTTTTGACCAGAAAATTGTATGATTTTTTTTGGGGATGCTATAGTTATTTGGAGAAGTACAAAGCCAAAGTATATATATTCTTTAATATGCAGTCTTAATTGGGACTATCGACGAAGATCTAATCAAACGAGGCCCACACAACAAAGAGGTGAGGTGAACATAAATCATAGATCCACTAATTTAGTTTCCAGTGCAATTAGGTTTTACTTTAGTCTTTTGATTTATGTTTTACCCAAAATCTATTGATTTGTAGCTTCCAATTCTACAAATGTCTAGTGCTTCCCACTTGCAATTGAGTTAAATTATCTTTTTCCTAATTTGCAGCTTTTTCACCGATTTTTTTTTTTAATTTTCTTCTTTTGATATAAGATTCAAAGCTTTTGGACCAGAAAATTGTATGATTTTGTTTGGGGATGCAATAGTAATTTGGAGAAGAACAAAGCCAAAGTAGATATATTGTTTGATATACTGTCTTAATTGGGAGTATCGGCGAAGATGTAATCAAACAGAGACACACACAACAAAGAGGAGAGGTTAACATAAATCATAGATCCACTAAGTTAGTTTCCAGTGCAATTAGGTTTTACTTTATTCTTTTTTATTTATGTTTTACCCAAAATCTACTGACTTGTTGCTTCCAATTCTACATATGTCTAGTGCTTCACACTAGCAGTTAAGTTAAATTATGTTTTTCCTATTTGGGAGTATTGACGAAGATGTAATCAAAACGAGACTCGCACAACAAAGAGGTGAGGTGAACGTAAATCATAGATCCACTAATTTTGTTTCAGTGCAATTACGTTTAACTTTATTCTTTTGATTTATGTTTTACCCTAAATCTACTAAGTTGTTGCTTCCAATTCTACAAATGTCTAGTGCTTTACACTTGCAATTAAGTTAAATTATGTTTTTCCTAATTTGCAGCTTTTCCACCGATTCTTTTTTTTTGTTAATTTTCTTCTTTTGATATAAGATCCAAAGCTTTTGGACTAGAAAATTGTATGATTTTGTTAGGGGATGTTATAGTTATTTGGAGAAGCACAAAGCCAAAGTATATATATTCTTTGATATGCAGTCTTAATTGGGAGTATCGACGAAGATTTAATCAAACGGAGACCTGCACAACAAAGAGGTGAGGTGAACATAAATCATAGATCCACTAATTTAGTTTCCAGTGCAATTCGGTTTTACTTTATTCTTTTGATTTATGTTTAACCCAAAATCTACTGAGTTGTTGCTTCCAATTCTACAAATGTCTAGTGCTTCACACTTGCAATTAAGTTAAATTATGTTTTTCTAATTTGCAGCTTTTCCACCGATTCTTTTTTTTTTGTTTTCTTCTTTTGATATAAGATCCAAAGCTTTTGGACCATAAAATTGTATGATTTTGTTTGGGGATGCTATAGTTATTTGCAGAAGCACAAAGCCAAAGTAGATATATTCTTTGATATGCAGTCTTAATTGGGAGTATCGATGAAGATTTAATCAAACGGAGACCCGCACAACAAAGAGGTGAGGTGAACATAAATCATAGATCCACTAATTTAGTTTCCAGTGCAATTGGATTTTACTTTATTCTTTTGATTTATGTTTTACCCAAAATCTACTGAGTTGTTGCTTCCAATTTTACAAATGTCTAGTCCTTCACACTTGCAATTAAGTTAAATTATGTTTTTCCGTATTTGCAGCTTTTCCACCGATTCTTTTTTTTTCTGGTTAGTTTTCTTCTTTTTATATAAGATCCAAAGCTTTTGGACCAGAAAATTGTATGATTTTGTTTGGGGATGCTATAGTTATTTGGAGAAGCACAAAGCCAAAGTAGATATATTCTTTGATATGCAGTCTTAATTGGGAGTATCGACAAAGATGTAATCAAACGGAGACCCGCACAACAAAGAGGTGAGGTGAACATAAATCATAGATCCACTAACTTAGTTTCCAGTGCAATTCGATTTTACTTTATTCTTTTGATTTATGTTTTACCTAAAATCTATTGAGTTGCTGCTTCCAATTCTACAAATGTCTTGTTCTTTACACTTGCAATTAAGTTAAATTATGTTTTTCCTAATTTGCAGCTTTTCCACCGATTCTTTTTTTTTTTGGTTAATTTTCTTCTTTAGATATAAGATCCAAAGCTTTTGGACCAGAAAATTGTACGATTTTGTTTGGGAGTGCTATAGTTATTTGGAGAAGCACAAAACTAAAGTAGATATATTCTTTGATATGCAGTCTTATTTGGGAGTTTCGACGAAGATTTAATCAAACGGAGACCCGCACAACAAAGAGGTGAGGTGAAGCTTTTGATTAGATAAAAGGCTCAGTCTTATTTGTTCATAAAATGGATTTCTTGCTAAAATTTACTTGAGAAACCTAGGATATGGTAGGGCATATTGGTCATAAAATTAATTTGATAATGTGGATCCTTTTATAAGAAATCATAAACCATCTGACGTATGGATTTTATGTTAATGTTTTATCATATATCTCTAACAACAACATACCTAGTATAGTTTCATAACGGATATTTGGGCAGAGTAGGATGTAAGTAGACCTTATTCTTGCCGGGACTAAAGTGATTAATTTCAATAGACTCTCAACTCGAAATTGATGTGTTTGAAGTAATCTCAAGGAGTAATGCCAAATGTGCTGTCAAAAAATAAATGATTTTGAAAACGAAGAATCTATAAACTGCAAAAATATAGATGCCTCAGTCGCTAGGCTGTATCAACTTCATGATTTATCTTGAACTTCAGACATTGATCCTTGTTTAAGAAAAACTTACATGTTTAATGCTTTAAAGTTCTTTGCATCCATTTATGGTTAAGAGAACCCTAATGTGAGTTGTTGAATAGTTAGTACATTATAATTTAGTATTATGAACAAGTCAACATATTGGAAAAATGCAAAATCAAGAGTTCCTTTAGTTTTCGATAAGATAATATTAGTTTTCAACCTAAAATTATAAATATTATTGAATATGCATAAGTAATAATAGCCTATCATAGTGACAATTGACCAATGCGTGTGGTACTAATAGTTCTAGACAGGCTGATCGTTTTTCCTCTTTCGCTTTCATTCAATAGCTCGTTTCAATTTTCACTTAAAGTAATGTTAAGAGTGTCGATATGTTGTATGTTGCATTTTATAACCCTAACTACAAAATGAAATAATTTCCTTTAGGTACAATCATACAGTCAGTGGATCATATCCTCTGTTTGGGTTTTTCACGTTCACTACGCGGTGGCACCTTCAAGGTCATTTATCTCTATGTATCTCTTTGTCTTTACTCAAGTAAGTCATCTTATTCAATGATGGTTTGGTCTATTTTTTCTTAATTCTTGATAGGAAATTTTTCACTATTAGGGAAGTCTAGTAGCTCATAGAACTATCATTTTCTTTTTAAATAAGACTCTTTTTGGGACAACATGGAAAATAAGACGTGTAAATTCTAATCAATGAAGTATTATACTGTTGAGGAAAGTAGGAAAGTTCAAAGTGCTCAACTTTTCAATTTTTATTTTTTCTTCTCTTTTATATTTGTATTTACTCGTTAATTTGATTCTGATTTTCATACTTAGTAGGCAAAAGTTTTCGTGTATTTTCTACTTGTATAGTAAAAGCTAATACTCCTATACAACAACTCTAATGCTTGCTTTAGCTGATATAGTATATAATATTATGATCATAGTTTAGTGATCTCATAAGTCTAGATATGCTTGGGAATCTAAGACTTGGATATGCAAGAATATGTTACTGTTAAATGTTTAGACTTGGTTTTTGCTCTAATTTGAGATATCTTTTAATGCATGATAATATTCAATACTCTCTTTTATCACTAATAGATGATGTGGTTTAGTCAACATCTTAAGGATAATACAGATCAAATTGAATGTTGATCTTTTTTAATTTTTTAAATAAAATGGTTTGGCTCAAGTCCAATTTATTCAAAACAAATTATATACAAGCTAAAGCTAAAAGCCTGGCCAAGAACAGGTCATGACTATCTAAACAGGAAATAAGCAAAAGGAAACAAAGGATAAAAGAAAAGAAATGTTAAAACTAAAGAAGTAACTAAAAGGAAAGTGAAAAACCATGGATGAACTCTGTGTAACATGTGATCCTAGATATTCACCCCTAAACTTGGACATTGAGCTCATCTAAATTGTTGCTGCTCTGTTGGAAATCAAGAAGATTGACCTTAGAAGGTACGAGACGAGGGAGGTAAGTAGCATTCTTGGAGCGTAATCAATTACTTATGGGATAAAATCGTTTTATCTTCAGCTCCAACTTATTGACCTTCATATTAGTATGCTTGCATTTCTATTTAGTGTTTATGAAACTGATCATTACAACATATTGAATACACAGATTGTGTTACAGATTCCATCTTTTTACCTCAATATGAACACACTCTAAATTAAATCATAATTTTGTCCCTTTTTTTCCACAGTTATAAGAGGTGAGAATTGAATCAAGACTACTTGAAAGCTAAATGTCGCCACATTTTTTATACTTTAGAAGAAACTCCAGGTATTTGTCTTACTTTAAGGAGTAATATTTAGTTATCAAGTTGTTGTGCGGAATTTGAGATAATACGAGAAAATATAAACGCGAAAAACGAGACAACGGATTTACGTGGTTCACCAATAAATTGGCTACGTCCACGGGAAGAGAGGGAGCAGTTTTATTATGGAGAGGCAAAAACAGAATTACAGAATAGGGTTTCCCATAGCGTCTATATATAGTGCTAAGCTACGCCCTAACAGGCTTGGGCCCAACATACAGAATCAAAAGCGAGACCCCCGTCCTTTCTGTTTGTAGCGGATCCGATTCAAGGCATTCAACACAAGTATATGACATAATTACTTTTATTAAGGAGCTTGAAATGAGATATTATCTAGTATAGTTTTAGTTAATCTTTATTTTATGATCATGGGTTTTAAATTATTCTATTTTTAATTTATGCAATTTAAAGTCAAATATAATATGAAAATGAAATAATTAAATTTCATCAAATGTTTTTAATTAGTGGCAAAAGATTGAACATTTTGCGATTACTATATATAACTTTTCAAGACATTTCATCACAACTTAAATTAGTTTGTCATAATTTGAATACATTTAGTGAAAATATATTTGTTCTAGTACCCTCCTTATCGAATATGAATTAATTTAATATTTTATGATGTCAATAAAAAACATACTTTTAATGACAAGATGATATATTCGACTACAAAATTGTTAATCTTCATTAGAGTGATAAACTTGTCACTAATTTATACATTTGAGGCCGAAATACTTTTTTGTATATAAAAGGTAGTCATTAGTGACGAAATTTCTTTTGTTCTACTACGAAATATATAAAATTTTAGACACGATTGGTATCGTCGCTAATTGAACTAAATAATTAGTGACCAAATAGTTTTGTCGGTGTTAATAACGTTCTTAGTGACAAAATTACTCTTATCAACTACAAAAAATACACATCTTATGACATTCAAATTCTTCACAAATAATATGCATTTTGTGCCGATTTTTTTGTTTTGTAGTTAATGGAATTTCTTTTGCGACGAAATATTGAATCGTCTTTAGTGACTCACCTTTAGTGACGACTGAATGACGAAATCTTTTCGTCACAAAATTTTTCTGACGAAATAATTTGTCCCTAATAATCAAATATGTTGTAGTGCTTCTAGATTTCACTATTTCCTTTCAGTTTCGTCTTATTAACCCACTTGACTCTAATGGTTTTGTGCTCGTTTGGAATATATGTTAACTCCCAAGTGTTATTTCCTTTAATAGAATCATGCCATCCATAGCTTTTCTCCATTTCTCCTCTTTGACAGCATTCTCAAAAGTTGTAGGATCACAATCTGCAAATAAAGCAAAGTGGGGAACATCTTCCTTAACAAGAATTGTTGTTACCTTATAATCCATCATCTATGTGGGCCATATGCAAGCACAACTAAGAGGCTGATCAGGTGCATTAATTTTTTCCAGAACTTCTGGTGAAATATTATAACCTGCTTCAGTAGAAATTTCAGCAATTTTGGCGGTTGAAACTACTTCTTCAACTTCATTATTAATTAGCATTGGAGTAATTGATGTGTATTCCAATACCAAGTATGCTTCTCATCAATAACATCTCTTCTAGTCACAACCTTCTTCGTCAAGGATTGAATAGCATGTAAGCTATATGGAGAAAATGATGTGCTAGCATGATGCAAAAAATGAGGTTGCAGCAGTTGTACTTGTGCCTATTCCACCTGGGAGATATGGTGTGTTGACTCAGGTAAAGGATGAGCTATCCTATGTATCTGTTTACAACAATTGCGAGGATGTATTTATGTTAGATATGTTCGGAGGAATGAATATGAGTCTTAATCATAGTGTGTGCGTAAATCTTGGACACAAGAAGTCTCGGCAAACATTGGAGAAAGACCTCTTTGTTGACAATGGTACTGTATTGTACGACGTATTACCGTGTATAAATAGTGGTCATTACATTGTGGTGATATACACAACAGAAAGGATATATCTTCATTACCTAAATGGGAAGAAGGTGGAGATCTACTATTATAACTCCAGGACAATTAAATCCTTAGAAAAGATTCATACCACACACAAACAGCCTAGCTGGATACATGAGCTAAAGAAGTAGCTGTTTTTTTTGTTGTCAAGTAGAAATCTCATGTTTAATTTCATCTTCTTTTGTTTTTATATGACTTGGATTGCAGTTAAGCTGTTTTTGTAATATACATGTTTTTGATTGCCAAGGTAGTTTGAACTTTTTTTTTCCTTCACTCATTTTAAATTAATTTTTTCTTTTTTGCTTGTTTTTGCTTGTGAGTTCCTTAATACTGCTACATGAGCTGAAGAAGTAGTTGTTCTTTTGTTGATCATACCGCACATTCCATCGTCAAATTTAAATGGTAGCAGTTGAAAGGAACTCACAAGTAAAAACACGGAATCAAGTAAGAAATAATTAAAAATGAGTGAGGAAAAACGTCTAGACTACATTGACAAACCAAAACATGTCTATTACAAAAGAAGATGAAATTAAACATGAGAATTTTACTTGACAGCAACAAAACAACTACTTTTTCAACTCATATATCGCAGCGAGGCTGTTTGTGTACGGTATGAATCTTCTCTTATAGGATTTAATTCTCCTAGAGTCATAATAATAGATCTCCACCTTTTGCCCACTCAGGTAATAAAGATATATCCTTTCAGTTGTGTAGATCACCACAATGTCATCACCACTGTTTATACACAATAATACGTTGCACAACACAGTACCATTGTCAACAAAGTGATCTTTCTCCAATGTTTGCCGAGACTTCTTGTGTCCAAGATATATGCACACACTACGATTCAGACTCATGTCCATTGCTCCGTACATATCTAACATAAAAACGTCCCCGCAATCGTTGTAAACGGTTACATAGGATAGCTCATCATTTATCTAAGTCAACGCACTATATCTCCCAGGTGGAATAGGCACACGTACAACTGCTGCAACCTCATTTTTTGCATCAAATGCTAGCACACCATGTTTTACTAATCATATATTATTATAAGTGGGAAGCTCCTAACCTCAAAGTTGAATTACCTTTTTGTCCTTATCTTATCCCTAAAATAAATTAATATTAATATCTATTTACTCAATTGAATATTAAGTAATAATTGTAGTATATTTGAATTAATGCATCAAACAAGATCTTAAGGCATCATATATTCATGTACTAATTAAATATAGCTAATGAAGAGTCTAATAGCCTTTCAATTTTAATTTGTAAGATAAGTAGGGGCAATGAAAAGTCTATTAAACACACTCACACCATATTATTTATATTCCTTCTCATCTTGCATTCTAGAATAGGTACTACATCAGTTGTAAAATTTTCATTACCAGTTTGTAATATAAGAATTCTTACTATATTATTTATTCGTATTCTTTAAATTTCATGTATATTCATCTTCTTTTTTCTGAGAAATATGTAAATTATGATAGTTACAAGATGAATATACTACAATATATATGAAGTTGTAAGTAAATTTTTATTTTTAATATCTCCATCGTTTTGAGTTTTTTAATATAACTTCGTAATTGACTACTGTTTTTTGTGTTCATCCTTTCTTCTATCTTTAGAATATATAGTAAAGCTAATCTCATTTGTATTTATTATAAATTATTTTGAGGGTAAATATGTTAAATCCCAAAGAATAATAATTATGTCTTCTTCATTCTTTGATAATCATTTATCTTTTTAAAATAACATATTTGTACTTTTTCCTTTCTATATCTCATCTCAAATGTTTTAAAAAATCATGTACTTAATTGTTACATTCATATTTAATTTATATATATATATATATAGTTCAATAAATATAATGCATGTTTATTCTTAACATATTTAT